CATAAGCCATTTAAGGCCACATAAAAATATTCCTTACTTGTGGCAACATAGAAAGCAAGAGTCATAACATCACTATACTATTCTCTTTAGGGGTGAGCATAGTTCAGTTTAAACCGTATAACTGAACCGACATTTCGGTTTTGATGCATTCAATTCGGTTTGATCGGGTATTCAGTTCAGCTTCAATTTTTTATTTCAGTTTTATAATCTTTGGGTTTCAGTTTTGGGTGCGGTATTTAGAGGTTCGATTAACTGAAATAACTGAACATATAAGAGTATATTAGTAATTATACAAGGCTTTAACCCAAAACCCAAAACCCTCCAAGGACTATCGAGTACTTGAGTCTTCCTCTCCATCTCCAACTTTTCGTCTGACCATCTTTTGGCGCAACAAACTCAAACTCCGGCATGGCACCGATAGACGACGGAAAGTGAAGTCTCAGCCTCTCAGGTATGTAATATTTATCATTTATTTTTCTTCTTCTTCTTCTTCTCTCATTCCGTCATTCTCTTTTGACTTTTTGAATCTTTGAAGCAGTAAACTCCAACATCGACCTTCAATATACGACAGCAAGTGGATGACGACAACCAGCAAGTGAATCTCTAAAGCTCCGATGGCAATCGGTAAGTGAATCTCTCTAAAATTCTGAATCTCTAAAGTAGCAAACTCTAGTGGCAAGTAAAGATAGATGGCGACAAGTTTAAACTCTCAAGTATTAATCTCTTATTTTATTTTTCATTTTCCTCTTCCCTTAATTTTTTTTACTCTACTGAGAGTCCGCGAGTTTGAGTGAACTCAATGAAGGTCTCAACAGGAACTTTGCATTATTTCATTTCGGTTTTAATCGAACAACCGAATTATCCAAACAAAATTTCAGTTTGGTTTGTTCAGTTTAACCTAACTTCGGTTTTGGTTCAGTTTCCAATTTTCCTATTTCGGTTTTTAAAAATTCGGTTCAGTTTTAAACCAAACAAACCGTTTGCTCACCCCTAATTCTCTTGGTCCCATTTGTCATGTTTAGCACTTCCAATCTTTCGTTCCTTCACTTTACCATTGATATAACATACTTTCCCTCTAGCAGTAATGTAGAGTTTGATTCCTCTAGACCACTCAAGATAATTAAATCCGCAGAAGGGGATTACAGCCATAGGGAAATTTATATCTAGTCCCCCACTCATTCCATTTTGACTTGCGGTAACACTAGAAGTTGCAAATTTTCTAGATGGCATGGTTCAGTTTACTGTTCAACCCAAGAGTCACTTTTGACACACAAAACCAGCCCTAGAGAAACACTAGAACGGCAGTCCCCAAACACACTTCATAGTCTAGGCACAAGACAACACCATCTCCCAAAAATAATTCTTCAAATGTTTTCAAGCTTAAACAGGCTTAACATCCACAAACCACCGTACTTCCAAGGTACCTAATTACTACAGCAACCAAGAGAGACTATACCAGTGTTGTCGAATGAAAAAACAAGTCTTAGGTCCTTCTCACAGCATCCAACCATCTTTGTTTTATAGATTTCCTTGGTACATGACCAAAGGAAAAAGAAAAAAAAAGAAAAAACTTCTGATGTACCGGTCATAGGAAGGTTTTCTTGATCCCAATCTGTAGAAACAACATGGAGAGAAAAAGGGTTCAATCTGTTCTCAGGCCCCGTAATCTCGTTCTGATACCATTATTATCAGTAAAATAGGGTAGATAAAGTATGGAAGAAGAAGAAGAGATGAGAGAGGAAAGAGAGAAAGGGAGAAGAGAAGAGAGAGATTAGAGAGTAGAAACATGTCTGGTAGTGACAAAAGAAATAAAGGGAAAAGACATTTTTGCCCTTGTGGCACATCTATATATATAATAAAGTTGGATTGTCCATGTCAATATGTCTCTCTTTTGAGAGAAGCTATTTATCTAATTTCTCAATTTTTTTTTCATTTTTTCTATTTTCTTTTGTTTTAAAATATAAAAAAATAATCATTGTCTATTTTGATTAAATCAAAAAGTGGATTATATTCCCCGTGCCTGTCCCCAATCCCTGCCAGGAAAATGTGGTCTTCTTACCTATTTAAGGACTTGAATCCCTGAATTCAGTGTCATTTCTCAAAATTGAAATGAATCAAACCACTAAGCATTGAGACTTCAAGATTAATGAATGGTGGGTCAATCCAACCGAAAGGAAAAAATGGATCCCATCAAAGCATTTTCATACCCAATTCGATTGGATCAAAGTTCAAAAAAAAGTTGCCATACTTAACTCCACTCTAATGCTATTAAAATATATAATAAAATAAAATAAAATTGGACGGTCCATGCCAACATGTCTCTCCTTTGAGAGAAGTTATTTATCTATTTTCTCCATTTTTTATATTTTCTTATTTTCTTTTATTTTATAAATATAAAAAAGTATCATTGTCTATTTTGATTAGATTAATAAAGTTGCACACTATTAGAGAGAGAAAGAGAGAGAGACCTTTGGGTTTTCCAAGGCCTCTTATTTTGATGCAAGTTATTATTATAGTCTGTTGTTTCACTTTTCCATGATAAATCTTATGCATCGCACACGGGTCCCCGCTAGTACTACATTAAACAATAACTATTCTAACAAGATGTTCAAGGTGTAACTTCGAATTTGATTCTTTGGAGGTTATACAATTCATCAAGCAAACCTTTAGCTCCCCCGTGAGGCTTAGGCCTTCTCCTCTCTTGGGGTCATGTGGATGGATATCAAATTGCTATCTGGTAGTCTTCATGATTTTCATTTCTATCATATCCCTCATGTTTGTAATTCCCTAGCTGATAGCCTAACTAAACATGCTTTGAGAACCCTGGAGCTAGGGTCTGTTGTTTCTTTATTTTGATCTTCTTTCTAATGAAAATGTCTTCTAGTTACCAAAAAAATACCTAGTTCGAAGACTCAGAGTATGAGACTACTGAAGAGTTAACATGGGCCCTTTACAAGGTTCCCCTCAAGGATGAAGAATAGCTATTACCCTTTCTCTTTTTTGAATCATGGAAAAGACGAGGATGAAGCTAGACTCTAATCCTTTGGGCTAGTCTTCATTAGTTTATTAAATCTAATTCAACAAGACTACTTTTTTTAAACCATGAAAAAGAGAGAAAGCATAAAGAAGGAAAGAAAGAAAAAAAGAAAATAGAGAGATACGACTGAAGAGAAAATTACTCTCTCCTCTACTAGTAGCCTCCTCCCCTCCCGCTATAAATCACATCGTGCCCGGGAATTTGGCATCAATCCACAGGCAGGATTCAGTCCACCCCTAAGAGACAAAACAACTACTAATAACAGAACAGAAAGACTAAAATACCCTCTTGACTTTCAACTTAACATCTCAAAGAACAATTCAGCCTAAAAATTAACCTGTTAGGTGAGGTCCATGAATAGATTTTTTTATTTTTATTCTCCAATACACCCCCTTATGCGATAGTCCATGGGGATTGAAGCGTGGATACACACAATCCCACCAATATCTTATGCTGAAATTTAATTAATTATAATGAGGGAACGAGGATCAAACACTAGACCATTTGGTCAAACAAGTTCTGAACCATTTCAAAGAACCATTCAACCTAAAAGCTTAAGCTGTTAGATAAGGTCCACAAATAGGTTTTATTCCCAACACTCCCCAAGTCTTCACTAGTTGGATTTACAAACTTGGCATGCTAAAGAAAAAAAAGGCCATAGTGTATACATTGAAGCTGATAGTCACAAATTCATAGAAATAAATTCATCCATACCCATGTGTGTTTTTCCTTTTACCATACATTTACTCCAGATACATGAAGGAGCTTTCTGACTATCCATATACATGCATGAGAAATGAAAAAAAAATTGATGAAACAATGAAACGAAAAAAATTCCAAGGTACATTGATAGAGCAACAGTTAACAAACTCAAAGCCTCAACCCTAGGTTGCATGCTGCGGATTGCTATAAAGAACCCATTCACTAGAAATAGCCCTTTCTTTCTCATTTAGGTGAAGTAGCAACTGAACTAAGAGTTCATTCAGGAGGGTTTTTGCGGCGATTGAGGTACATTGATAAAGCCGCTTTAGAGAAGCTACTTATGATAGCTTCAGTTGAAAATAAGCCCATTTTCGGCTTTTCAAAATTTTACTAAACAAGGCCTCAAATGGGATGACCTTCAAGTTGGGCGTGTTTGGTGAAAATCTGAAAAACCCAAATCAATATTGCAAACGCTAGTTGAGCAACTAAAATATGAAACTGCTCTGAATAGCTTATCCAGAACAAGATGGGATTCTCTACAAGTAAAAACTTCAGACACACCTACAACCATGAAATCCTATTACACGTTAACATCTCCCTATGAATTTAAGCAAAGTTCAAAGTATCAGTACGTATCAACCTGTACATATCGTTTAAGGAGCTCCCTGATACGTATCGGGATTCTGACTGGTTCAGGGGGTAGAGGAGAGAGCCTTAAATTGCCCCCCCTGAACCGATTTTGGAAAAAATAAAAAAAGTAAAAAAAAATACTGATATGGCCCAATACGCCCAAATGTATCAATATTTTGAACCTTGAATTTAACATACATGTACCGGAAATGCCCTAGGCTGTCCGGAACTCCGGGTCACGGATGGTCAATATGAGACTTCTCTCAAACACAAACCCTCCCAAATGGGGCCTACGATCTAAAGCAAACCCAAGTCCGTTTGCTCAAGTTAGTGATTTCAATCAAGGGCACATTGAATTGAAAATCACATTATTGAAGTTTTTTTTTTTTTTTCACATGCTATGTATGTATGCAAATAGAGGGTAAAGATGTATGTCAAACTTCCGCAATCAAATTTAACTTTTATCACCGACACCCAAAACCAAGGCAAAATATCCACTTTGTAATAGCTTAGATATCGTAGAAGATACGGCACAGGTACCAAATCAATTATTCTCTTCACTTTTTTAGGGTCTGTGGTTTGCAAGTCTACGATGTTTCTTTCTTTTGTTCTGTTTTAATGAATATCCTGATTACCCAAAAAGTTCTCTTCATTTGAGTCATTTGATCAATTATGCTCCTCGCTTTACAAGTCAAATGTGCGAAAGTTCATTTGGACTCTTGGAGCACAAAATACACAAAAAGGTAAATGAACATTACGTAAGCAGCTAGAATATTTTAAGTGGGACAAATAAGTATCCAGATCCACCCTGATCGTTGTTTTGACTCCTATCCCGTTTCCCACCTGTTTGGAGAAATGAAATCAATACCAGAATATTATTCCAACCAGTAAATCAGTAATTAAAAACGAACATTTACAAGTAGTTTATCTTTATTTGGGAAAAAAAAAAAAAGATGGGTTCAACCATCAGCCAGGTGGTTTCAATCTGGCTGCAACAAAGGCAACTGCACTATAATTCAAAATATATGCTTTAAAGCAGGTATAATATGTTCATCTACAGAGACTGGTACACCAATTGATGATATATGGTACATAAAAAATTAACAACTCCTAGACACTGAAGCAAACTGGACATACCTTAAAGATATAAAACCCACATTTGAAGGATAATGTAATTGCCACGTGCAGTTATCAAAACTCAAGAACCAACTCTAATTGGGGTCCAGCATCCATCGTGGCAACAATCATCTCTGATAACCTGCGGGAGGATACCCAGGACCAGGAGGGGGATAACCAGCAGGAGGATAACCTTGAGACTGAGGAGGTTGTGGATAACCATATGCCTGTCCATATGCTGGTTGTGGAGGATATCCAACTGGAGGAGGAATGGGCTGATCAATGCGGGACATATACTGAATGGGTGGAACAGCCATCACCTGTGGCCCAAAATTCACATCCCTTTTGTCCATTTCAATCTTGTGTTGCGTCTGCATACATGCACAAACCCTACGAAAACAAACCAAGATATACAATCAGAAATGAAAGTTCTAAAGGCCACGCTTTTACTTTCACCTTGGCAGTGGGAAGGAACTTACGTGCAATAAACCATGTCAGACAAACAGTTCAGTATCTGAGAAGCCTCTGAAAGATCCTCACTTCCAACAATCATTGCAACAATGGAGAATATGCACGCCACTTGTTGGAGGCAGAACATAAATCCCTACGGTAAGGAGCAATAAGATCAAATAAATTGCACAGCACGCAAGGCAGAGGTCATATACATGTAACTAGAGCAAGATTTTAAAATGTTAAAGGCGTAGTTGAGGCATAATGGCCCAAAAGATGAGACATAAGCCTCAAGGTATTTTTTTACCCCAAAAAAAAAGCCTCAAGGTGTTGCAAGGGTATACCAAGTTAGAATGATAGAAGGTACAGATATTGATAAAGTAGAAGTTTATAAGCAATTTAAGCATTAACCAAGAATAATTAGTCAACTAATAATATAAACCTTTTAGACAGATATGCAGAGGAAAATGGATAAAGCTTGAGTTGCATATCTCATCAGAAATGGCAGGTGGGGATCGAGGTGTTTTCTTCTGTGTTTTGTGGGTGGGGGTTGGAAGGGTGGTGGATCTGCAGTTTCCTGTTTTTCTTTTCTTGTGTTTAGTAAGAGGGGTATTCATGATATTATGTTGGGGCTTTGGCAGTTGCATCGGTTTGGATTTCTTAGGGTGTATTAGTTTGTTTGTTGGGCTGATTTTCTGTTTAAGGGGCTAATTTTGTTTTGGGCGGGCTTGGGTGATTTCTTATCACCCTGTTGTATCCTCTCTTTCTTTTTTCATTAATAATGTTTCATTTTTATTTATCTCCAAAGAAAACCAATAAACCTTTTACATTTCAACTTTTAAAATCCAAAGTTCTCAAACTATTCAAATGACCAATCATGATGTTTTAGATTATTGAAACTTTTCCATCATTAAAATTGTTCCACAAATGGGATCATATGATCAATTATCCATATAATTTCTTTTCGCAAGTATGAATCATCCATATAATCGATACCAGATTTTTGGTCATTAAACAATTTAGAATAAAGGAAACAACTTAGGGGGTGTTTGATATGGCTTAAGTTGGTCAACTGAAAGACATATTGCTTTGCCTTTAGTTGTTAAAATAATTAAATACTAAAATTTTTAACCGATTTCAGTTTCAGTTTCAGCTCACAACCTCATTAAATATTTATTCACTAAAAGACAAAACAAGTCTTTCAGTTCAACAGTTTTAGCTGTTATCAAATGGCCTTTTAGTTGATTTCATCTATGCAAAAAGAATCAATAAAAAATAAATTCATTAGGAGGAGAAATGAGAAAAAAAAAACTTGGGATAATCTCACTTGATTTAACCAAAAGAAACTAAGAACTTGATTTGCCCTATTGGTTTTTATTTTCACTTTTAATTTGACCCATAATTACTAAAGTGCTCCTCACATATATTTTGAACTATAAAAATGCATAAAAATATTTTTTGTATTAAATCACTAGATAATCATCGATTCTTGAGGCTTATGCCTTTTTATGCCTCATGGTGTGAGATGTACACCTCATTCTAACAAGGGACTAAGCTGTGAAGCTTAGGACTTGAGGCAAAATCTGTGCACCAAACATCAAGGCATACATTACACCTCAAAACAAAGGGGAGAGAGAGAGTACAATAATGCAGTTGTCACACTGTGTTGTCTGTATGTTGAATTGATCTTGCAACAGAAAGCGAGTTGATGCTACTGAATTCGCAAAGCAGAGGAAAACCTGAACAAAATGCATCCAAATGTGCATAAATATATAAGAAAATTGTGAACCAAGTGCAATGGCACAAGCCATGAAATGCACCAAGAAGATAGCAAGCTTAATTTAAGTTTATTTTTTTGATAAAATAAACTTTATAAACAAGGTGGAAACACAATAGATAAGAAACATAAGAACAAAATATAGAATAAACATCATACCTCAGTGCAGAGACAAAATTCAGGGCATTGGCTTTCCCCACACCTACCACTACATGGCATATAACCAGCACAGCATACATACCTGTAACATGCAATGTGGATAAGACAAGACAGATCATCTTAAAGCTCATAAATTGTAGCTTTATCAAAGAATGTAGGCAAACATTCATTACCTGGACATATCATTATAAAGAGCTCTTTTCCGGAGCATATATGATGCACATGGTCCACTACAAAACGAAAAAATGCATTAGATGAACAGAAGGCAAGAAGGCATTTGAAAGCACCTCATTTAACATACTAAAACCAATAAAATGGGATGCATAGAGGGCCTTAAGAAATTTTGGGACAGAACAAAATTAGTGGTGTTAAAAAAAAATGTAAAGGAATAGGTGCAAACAGAAGACATAGGGCAGTTCACCATATAATCGAGAACATTTCCAGTTATGCTTCTGCTTTTTATCAGTAGTCATGGCTGTGTTTATGGAAGAGAACAGAAACTAATTAAAGAAATTCTCACGCATTGAACAGAACAGAATCTTCAATCAGTAGTGAAACTAATCTTTGGGGTGCACCATTCAGTTTGATCAGCTCTCCAGATATCCATCCAATTTGTACCCTCAGCTCAGCCAAAATTTTCCTAGTTTTGTTGAGTAACCATCAATAGTGAAAGAGGATATTAACATCTTCGTGATGGAAACCCCCATGAGAATAGGCCTCACCTACAATGAATCCATGTCTTCAATGTGACTGCTAAAGGCCCAAAAGGAAAAAATGCAATAGTCTCCCCTTATGTAAGACTTTTTTTTACAATTTCTTAATTCTCAATAGATTTTGCTTTGATGTCTTTTTACAAACCCTAATGTAAGAACAAGAATATGGACAGTATAAAGTCAACTTTCCATTTAAAGAATATCATCAAAGACAATTTGACATCATTACACCCCATAGTTTTCAAGGCACCAAGGCGAGGTTAAGTGACAGCGGGTGGTCGCCTCGGCGGGCACCTATGCATCAATGAATTTTTTCAAGTAAAAACACATATATCCTAGGGCAGTTCCCTAGGTTACTATCCATAATTTTCATAAGAAAAGTATGAACGTCATGTTAAAGTATAGAAAATCAACATATTCATGAGAAGAAAAAGAAGAAAGAAAAGAAAATTCAAAAATATAGGGGATGAACCCTTATTTTTGTTATAGGAAAAGAAGAAAAGAAAAGGTGGAAGAAGAAGAAGAAAATGCATTGATTGGACAAAATTTTAAGTTCTTCCTTGCTTATTATTGGTTCAAGCTTTGAAATCTTTGAGGGTTCAAAATACAGTAGTTAGCAATGTCTATGTTGATTAAACACTAACAAATAAGAAAATAATGAAAAGAAATTAGTAATATAAACACACAAAATGAATATTTTAGATTAATAATGTCTATTTTATAATTATAATCTCAACAATTTAAGAATATAAAAGTATTTTATAACACAATATACAAAAATGCTTGGCTACTAGGCGAGGTGAGCCTCCAAGGGCACCTTGACAATTATGGTACGTGCTATTTTCATTGCTATAGACTTCAACCATTCCTTTTAATTACAAAAGCAACAATCCTTTCTAACTCGACTTTCTGAGAACTTTCATAAAACAATAAAACACCATCACTTAATTTAATAGAAAATAATTTTCTTTAGGTCCATAGATGAACAAAAATGAACCTAGCTTTGCCCAGCTACACATACATTTGTGATGATTGTCAAGTTCCATTGTCAAGCTTGAGCTCAAATTAGCTAGCCCATCCCCAAGTTGGCACAGCCTCCTCAATTCATACTCAAGCTGTCTACCCTTTAAGTTTGCTAACGAATCTCCAAGGCGTTTGTAACCGCTTCAAAGGCCGCTTGAAAATCTTGATGGATTAYGGCAAACCTCTGATCAAGGTCACAAATGGAAGGATAGCCTATATAGCTAGCTACTATTTCCTACTCATAAACCTAGCCTATCAGATAAGGGCCCATTTGGTTCATTACTAATTTTGCCAAGCCCCGCCAGTTCTTGATGGAAATAGAATTTGATTTTAACCAAAAATAGGAAGGAAATAGTTTGGTAGAAATGAAGAATGTTGTTTGGTCCAATTTAATGAGAAACAAATTCCATAATAGAAGTGGAGAAATTTTGATAAATGCATTTGGCTCAAAATTTGACCAAATATTTTTAATCATCATGTATTTGGATGTCTCATGTTATTTAAATTTGTTAGAGTTAGCCGAATAAGGGTAGATTAGTTAACTCACCTTTGTTAAGTTATGTGCTTATGTGGAAGTCTTATTAGAGACTCTCTGTCCCATACTTAAGTGGGGGCAGTTTAGTCTTTGTACAATTAATTAGAGCCCAATCACTATTAAGAAGTCGATTGATAGGGTTGAGTCTATCAGGTTCGACAGTTCTTTCATCTTCTTCTTCTTCTTCTCCTTGCTGGTTCGGACAAATGTAGTAGCAGTCGAAACATGGTATCAGAGCCAAGTTCGTGACCTGCTTCAATTCGTGACAACTTCAGTTCGTGCTTCAGTTCTCTCATTTTCTTTTCTGGGCTGTCAATGGAGAAAACTGGTTCGTCCTAGGCCTGAAACATCTCAGCTCTTCTTTCACTCTGGTGTGCAGAACCTCCTTCCTTGAGAAAACGACTTCAGCAGTGAATGGTTGGCTGAAGCTCTCAAAAGAAGGTTGGTTATCTCTTCTCTTTGTGCTGTTGGTATTTCTGGGTTGAAAATCTTCAAGAACCTGCGAGGACTGATCAAAACCTAGAGAACTAGGTTGGTTGTTGCCCTAGTTCTTGAAAAAAAAATCCAAGAACAAGCTGTGTTTACAATGACAGAATGGTGTAAGGGCTGTTGCAAGTGGCCGAATGGTGTAGAGGCTACTGTAGGTGGCCGAATGGTGCAAGGTGTAATGCAGTGGCACTAGTTGAGTTCTCTTTGGTCTTGTAGTGCCTTCTTAAAAGTGTTAGACAGGTCTGTACCGTGTGTGACAGCTATGGCTGTGTGGTGGTGCTTGTGATGCACAATCTCTGTTGAGTAGTTGTAAGAGGGCTTGCATGTGGTTAGTAAGTGCTGAATTAATGTCGGTGTGGTTCGTGGTTTTGTGAAATCAGTAGTGGTGTGGACAAAAACAAAGGCTTGTGTATCTATCATTGTGTTTAGAGGCTGTTGTAGGTTCTGGAACATCAAATTCCTGACAGCAACACTTAGTTGGTGACTGGGAATTCAAATTAGAGGCAGCATTGAAAGAGTATCATGGCAGCAATGGGAGATGGTTGTAGTGATCAGAAACCTAGTGTAGTGGTTTCCTCTGACTATCTAGGTGTATAGATGACCTCAATTAAACTGAATGGTGAGAACTATGTTCCATGGGCCAAGTCGGTGGAAGTTTTTCTCAAGGCAAAGAGGAAAGTGAAGCATGTGAAAGAAGATAAACCACCGGCTAACTCTCCAAGGTTTGATGATTTGGAACAGGAAGATGCTCAAATCATAACATGGCCAAGAAGCTATATTCTGGGCAAGATAATACTACAAGGGTATATCAACTCTATCAGGAGTACTTTGATCTGCAACAAGGAAATAAAACCCTAGAAGAGTACTATGCCGGTATAAAGAACCTCAGAAATGAACTCAAGGTCTATCATCCTCTCACTCCAGATGTTAAGGTTCAGCAACAACAGAGGGAACAACTAGATGTCACAAGGTTCTTAGTGGGGTTGAAATCAGAGTATAAACCAGTTAGGGCCCAAATACTAGGGGGCTCTACCATTCCTACACTTGAGGAAGTGTTTGCACGGCTTCATAGGATTTATTTGGGACAGACAGAGAATCCCACATAGTCTGATAGATCAGCATTTGTGACAGCTAGAGGAGGTGGACGTGGTACAAAAGGGAGAGGACATGCCTCCCGAGGAGGTTGTGGTGGTTCCATATTTGGTCGTGGTAGTGGTCGTGACTCAGGGGGAGGTTGTGGCAAAGGAAAAAGCAACTCTACAAGGAAGTGTACCCACTATGGCAGGGAAGGACATTTGGTAAATTTCTGTTATGATCTCCATGGCCCTCCCTCTACATGGGCCAATCATGTTGTATCTAGTGGGGTTGACGTTAGTGATAATCAACAAGTAGACCTAACTCCTTCCACATCTACATTTGTTTCCGGGAGGGAGATGGTGAGTGTACCTCGTGATGAGTATGAGTGGTTCCTTCAATCTACTTCACAACACACTACTGCCACTCTTGCCCACTCAGGTATAGCTTGCCTGTCATCTAAAACCTCTCCTTGGATTATTGACTCTGGAGCCTATGATCACATGACTGGGACTCCAAGTGTGTTCTCTTCTCTCTATGAAACTTCCACATCTCAAACTGTTACTCCTGCCAATGGTTCCTCCTCTCCCATCTGTGGTGTTGGCAATGTTGACATGGCTTCTCTTTCTTTATCRTYTSTTCTATATGTCCCTAAGTTTCCATTCAATCTTATGTATGTTAGTAAATTAACCAAGACTCTTAACTGTTTTGTTACTTTTTTCCCTTCCTCTTGTGTTTTTCAGGATCTCAAGACGGGGAAGAGGATTGGTGGGGGGCATGAAACTGGTGGATTGTATTATCTTGACGGTGGTGGATCGTCAGTTGCACTTCAAACTTCACTCACTCCTCTACAGTGGCATTGTCGACTGGGACATCCTTCTCTCAAGGCACTCAAGATACTAGTTCCGTCTTTGAGTCATTTGTCGGTGTTACAGTGTGATTCGTGTCAGTTTGGGAAACATCGTCGTGTTTCCTTCAGT